CCATGTTGTTAATTGTTTTTCTCCTTGTACTTTCTTTGTTCCTTTTTCTCTCTCCTAGTATCTATCTTTTTGACGTGATTTTTTTGTAATTTTACACTTTCTTTCATTTCTCTTCATCTACTGAGTATCAACTATTTTTCTATATTTTCTTATTTCCATGAGCTTTACATAAATGATTTTATATTTGTAGCAGTCAGTTTTAAGCTGACAGCAACTGAAATTGACTCACACAAAAGTACTTCAACAAATTCATGGAAATATTTATATCATCTTTTAATTATATTTTTCCACAAATGTTTTAACATATCCTCATACAATAACTCTTCACTTTTATTCTGTACTTTATGCTAGTGGTGCCACATTGTACATCTGTGTACATTATGCATCAATTAACTAATTATCATACTTGTATTTATTCTTAATAAATTTGTCACTTTTATACTACAGTTTAAATGATTTATGCAGCTCTATTACAGTATCATGGTTTCATTTTTATTATACAGTCATATTGACAAGTAAGTTTTCTATTTTCAATACATTCTTACTCATTGGTATTTATAGTCTTTTTGCCTCATCTCTAAGACCTCTTTTAGCATTTCTTCTAAGGCAGGTTTAGTGGTGATAAACTCCCTCGGCTTTGGTTGATCTGGAAAAGGATCTTTCTTTTTCCTGTGAAACAGTTTAGGATAGTATTCTTGGTTTGCAGTGTTTCTCTTTCAGCCCTTTAACTATATTCACCCCCCTCTTGCATGGCCTATATGGCTTCTTCTGTTAAATCTGCTGATAGTTTTATCCATGTTCCCTTTTATGTGAGATGTCACATTACTCTTGATGCTTTCAAAATTCTCTGTGTCATCATTTATTAAAACTTGACTATAATGTGTGTAGATGTAAACTTCATTAGGTTTACATATCACAAATTTTTCAATAAAAATAAATATCACACCCACAAACATATTATTTTAATGGGAGAATGATACACACATCAAATGTGAGTTTCATGCACAAGTATGATTAGTATCATGTGAGGTTATCAGACACAAACATGCAATGAATTTTATGAAAAACTGCCACTCCCTGTTAATAAATAGCAAGGGTGGTCACTTCAGCCAGTCTTCCGCTGCCCTTTGCTAGTTCCTTTGTTTTATTTTCCAATATAAACTCTTTCATTGCCAGAGACCAGCTCTGCAAGATTCCTTGGACCTGAACAGGTGGTGTGGATTTGGTGAAAAGGAAGAGACGGACCACAGATGTCTACTGCAAGTGTGGATGACAATCATTAGAATCTTGCTTTATTTATATATTTTTTAACCTAATCTTTTACACATTGATTTATCTTTTAATCAAAACATGTTTTATTTTGTTTCTTTTGAAAAGGAAAGGTCAAAACATTCCAAGGCACTCAGGCTGTGACAAAAGCACCCACTTACGCATCAATAGTTCACCCCAAAGCCTGTGGCTCGTGGCCAGGAAACTATACAGTAGCAGCATGCTTGGCTTTAAAGAGCGTCAGACTTTTAGTTTAAACTATAATTATTAACCTTATTAACTTACAACTTAACCCTTTATAAATCTTACTTATACTTACTATACTTGATTTTAATAACATTGATTAGTTATGGTTAACAATTTATTATTGTTTATACTCTATATTGATCATTTTAATTTTAATCAAAATCACAATGTTTATACCTTCTATTTCCCTGCCAATAGACTCTGGGAAAAGCACAGAGGACAAAGTGAAAAGTTAAATGATCCTACTCAAACTAACAAAAACACACTATATCATTCTTATTATTACTAGGGAAACAACATGTTCTTGGTAAGTCAAGTGAAACTGTGGGAATGGGGAAAACAAAGAAATCTGTAACTGGTTAATGATCAAGTAATTGTAAACACCACAGCACTCGGACCCAACACCTCCCTGGGGGATGTGGATAGAAATCCAACATAATAACTTCATTCCACACATACAGGAGCATGACCACAGACACAATGGGGCCATGCACACATTTCTAACAAGGAAGATTAATGACAAAATTAAATGGAGCCAACCCATACCAGGAACATGCATCAAAAACACCTTTAGTACTGACAATGCCCTTTAAATAAACCAGTTAATTTTGATGTATTTTAACATGTCCTTTGAGAAACTCCAGGGAATTTCCCAAAGCCATACTAAGCCAAAAGGTTAGGCTGTTAATTCTGGGAAGCCTTTTGTAAAGAGCAACTCTTCTATCCCTGGACTTGAGAACTGAAACACAAGTCCGTCAGAGCCCACCTGCACATGTCAGACAGAGACACGATCCCCAAGAGAGACCCACAGTGGACAAGGCGAGGTGAGGAGGCCCATCCCAGGCACAGGTCTATAGGGGCTCTGACACAGTTGAGCTCACTTTTTTAGGTCACTTGTTCCAAGATCAGATCCTCCTTCTGCTCCTGATGAGATACCCCATCCAGCACCCCCAATGGCTCTGCCCTAGGATCCTACCTGTTCCCTTTGAGAATTGGGACATCTGTGCTACAGGTCCAGTGTGACCCTCCCCACACATTGGGGTGTTCTGTGTGAGCTGCACAAATTGGATGTGGCTCCCAGTGTCTGAGCATTCATGGGGCGAGCATGGCTTCTTTCACGGACATCTGCAGAGTTCCCAGACAATGGGGGAACAGGCAAGTCCAATGTGCCTGCATTCCCCAAGTCTCCACTAACATCATGTTTAATTTTGTTCTTTTTGGCAAAGCAAGTCCCAAAACCAGGCCTAGGGTCAGTGTGAGGGCACTACCTACATGCAAGACACAGGGAAGAAATAAATATTTTCTGCCCATTGATGTTAACACAAATCACATATGTGTTTTGTGTGTGTGTGTGCGCTCCTGCATTAGAAGCTGTGGAGTGAGCTCTGAGTCCCTTGATTCTGTTGGCTCAGGTGTCCTCTGCTGTGAATTTCAGCCAGAGGATCCTGAAGGAGATAAGAGACTCTCTCAAAGCCCCCCATTAGTTTCCAGACTCAAGTGAGTATTGACTGTGTCACAGCATCTGGCAGCTCCAGGGAAGAGGCTCCCTGGTAGTTTTATAAAATACTTGTTCGTTATTTCCCTGTAGAGCACTTTGGGCTTAGTGAGTTCAATTCGCTATCTCAAGAAATGCTGACAAAATCATATGTTGTCACTGAAAATACATTCTGAAGCTGGGGAACAGACCTTTAATACTGCACTAGAGACACTGAGGAGAACACACCTTGAAGCCAGACAGAAGCCTCCACTGCAGGGCAAGCGCTGGGCTGCAGGGGGCGCTCAGGACCCACCCAGCACAGGCTCCAGCCCCAGGAGCAGGTGCAACGGTGTTGGGGGAGGGGCTTCTTCTCAAGGCCTGGAATTTATTAATTCACAAATAGTAATCTAAAATACACATTTTTAAAGAAGTGCTGATGTTTGTATAAATATTTTATTTTATTGGGAGCATTCACCTGACACAATAATACAAGGAGAGCCACACTTGGAAGGGATTTTTAGTTCTTCTAGTTATCTTAATAGTAAAATGCTGGAGTACAGGGATGGCATTATTAATTTGAATCGTGAAGAATTTGGGATAACACACTGATTCCAGGAATAGGGCATTCATATTTCAAGTCTAAGTAACGTTACCTGGGCTTGGTGTTTGAGAGGGAAGTGGTGAGTCAGAGATGGTGGCAGATGAATGAACATGAGTTGATCACAAATAAATTAGTAGTACAAGGAGAAATGGGCATGAATGGAAAGTATGTAAATACTGTGTAAATTCTATGATGTGGAGTTAGGGATAAGACAAATTTATTCAGAACACAATTCATAGGTAATATTTTGGAAAATGTTGGTTTATGAAGAGCCCCATTCAACTTCTATTGTCAATATATCAGAGACACAGCCCTGCATTACAAATAACAGAGTTAGTCTGAGGACCAGAAGTCATTCTGCTGAACATCCTGGAGCCCATCTCACCAGATAGGTTCAGGGGAAACAAGCTCAGGAGTGTCCAGTAGATCTCACAGCCACCTGTGGGCCCTGCTGGACACTCATGTGGAAAGGCCAGTGGTCACTCTCTTGGAGCCACCAATGGGCTGTTCTGGAGCCTGGAGGGGACCAGAACAGGGTCAAAGCAACTGCTCAGAAAATCAGAAACTGATGGGCTCATAAATGATCCAGGTGGTCACCATACCACTCAAATGTGGGTCATGTGGGGTCTTGTTCCTCAAAGGGAGGAGCTCTGCTTGCACACAAATGAGAGATGAGGCAAGAGGTGCGTATCCTTAAGGTGGATGAGGACTTCAGCCCTCAGCATGGCACTGCTGCCTGACCCACGTGTCACTGATCTTCCCTTCTCAGGCTGAGATAGTTATTGAACTATATAAAGTATTATACCTCATGAATATGCATATGATTTGAGGTCTACTGAGATAAATACTGTTATGTCTGTGTTCTAAGAACAATCATTCACTCCCCTACAGAGGCCCCTGGGAGAACAGCCACTCACCATGGACTGGAGCTGGAGAATCCTCTTCCTGGTCACAGCATCTACTGGTAAGGGGCTTACCAGTCTAAGGGAAGAAAAAGGAACTGGCACCATCAGAATAATATTTAATCCTCTCCCATCTCCTCTCCACAGGTGCCCACTCCCAAGTCCAGCTGGTGCAGTCTGGGGCTGAGTTGAAGAAGCCTGGAGAGTCTGTGAAGGTCTCCTGCAAGGCTTCCGGATACACCTTCACAAGCTACTATATGGACTGGGTGCGCCAGGTCCCTGGACAAGGGCTTGACGGGATGGGACGGATCAACCCTAGCTCTGGTGGCACAAGCTATGCACAGAATTTCCAGGGCAGAGTCACCATGACCAAGGACACGTCCATTAGCACAGCCTTCATGGAGCTGAGCAGTCTGAGATCTGAGGACACAGCCATATATTTCTGTGCAAGAGACACAGTGTGACAGCCACATCCTGAGTATGTCATAAACCCTGAGGGCGAAGAGAGCTGTGCTGGACTGAGGAGATGACAGGGGTGATTACGTTGCAGGCTTTTTAGATAATGGGCTTAAGTAATGGATATAAAGAAAAATAGAACCATTAATAAATGGGACAATTTTCATGCCACAGTCACCGTGTAAGCAATATTCATACAGCAGGAAATTGTTCCAGTTGATGCAGCTGATACAGGAATCCTCACGTAGGTGTCTGTGCAAACACATGTCTTAAAATCAGATGAATAAAGAGCCTGGAGCAAGGTTTTTTGACTCATGATGTCTTCACTTAAGAAGTGGCAGAAATGTCATCAAACTCTATGTGTTATTTCTTTTTAAAAATTTTATCTTTAAAGAGAATTGATAAATCACAGGACAATTGAGGGGAAGATGCAGAAAGTCCCCATATAGCCCTGATCCTCCCACCAGCATCCTTTACTGTCAACATCCCTCATGAGAGTGGTAAGTCTGTAGCAATAGACAAGCCTACACTGATACATAATAATCACCAAAGGTCCGCACTTTACATTTGGAGTCGCTCTTTCTGCTGTGCTTTCTATGGGTTTGGTCACATGTACAGTAACATGTATCCACGATTATCATGTCATAAGTTTGCAAAACATTTTGGTAAATACAAAGGAGCACAAGTGATAGATCCTGGGGTAAGAGGAGGTTGCGGGAGGAGGAAAAAGTGAGGTGGTGTCTCAGCAGGTGGAGTTTGCAAAGGTGAGCAGTGGTGGGTTGACCAGGGCTGCAGAGCTGGCGGCTGGTTTCCTCAGAGGAAACAGATCCTGGGGGGTCCTGCACAGCTGGACACTGGACACCACAGTGGCTCCCACCAGGTCTCTGATACTGATAATCCCAGTCAATCTTCTTTGCTGCTACCTTAAGATGTTTGCTTCTTTCACTCCCCTTATTCTTACAGGAAAAACTTGAAGGCCAGAAGTCCCCTCTCCACGCAGAGCCGTATTGTCCTGGGGGATGGGATGGTGCAGGCAAAATGAAGCCATGCCTCATGCCCTTTTGGGGAGTTTTTTCTATTTTTTTTTGTTTGTTTGTTTTGTTTTGTTGTTCCACTGTGTTGCTGTAGCTTCTTGACTGGAATGCTGAGCTCTCCCAGGGATATTTCCATCTGCGGACAGATGTCCAACTGCTGTGTTTTATGAGGAGCAAAGGGTGAGATCTCCAACTCTGCGTCTTGCTGACACTCTTCCATGTCTTGAACGTCTGGATGAGATCATAGCCTAGAAGATGAGTGCTTTGGGGCATAATTATCTGCTGGAACATTTATTTTACTTTTTATCATCTGTTTTTGTACAGGACTCAGGCTTATTAGCCAGTTCTCTAGGAAGTAGGAGTTAATGTACAAATCTAGTACCAAATGTTGCATTGGTTTGAATTACAAAATATTATTAGAAATCTTTTTGAAAAAACAATTTTCCACTTGTTATTTCTTTCTGTATCATCCATTTTCTTTATTTTTTAAAAAAACTTCTTTGTTTGCAAAGCATCCTTATGTCATATGCAACTAAAAAAACATACCGTCCATGTGTATATAGGTGTGCTCTTGTGTTTATAATGCTAAAGAGGTCACATAATATAAATGTTGACATACCGCAGGTCAGAAACACAAAATAAAGTAGCTTTTTGACACAGCCATATATTTCTGTGCAAGAGACAGTGTGACAGCCACATCCTGAGTATGTCATAAACCCTGAGGGAGAAGACAGCTGTGCTGGACTGAGGAGATGACAGGGGTGATTACGTTGCAGGCTTTTTAGATAATGGGCTTAAGTAATGGATATAAAGAAAATAGAACCATTAATAAATGGGACAATTTTCATGCCACAGTCACCAGGTAAGCAATATTCATACAGCAGGAAATTGTTCCAGTTGATGCAGCTGATACAGGAATCCTCACGTAGGTGTCTGTGCAAACACATGTCTTAAAATCAGATGAATAAAGAGCCTGGAGCAAGGTTTTTTGACTCATGATGTCTTCACTTAAGAAGTGGCAGAAATGTCATCAAACTCTATGTGTTATTTCTTTTTAAAAATTTTATCTTTAAAGAGAATTGATAAATCACAGGACAATTGAGGGGAAGATGCAGAAAGTCCCCATATAGCCCTGATCCTCCCACCAGCATCCTTTACTGTCAACATCCCTCATGAGAGTGGTAAGTCTGTAGCAATAGACAAGCCTACACTGATACATAATAATCACCAAAGGTCCCAAAACTTGTCTATTTTAATGGTTTTTCCAGAAGACATGAGAAACCTCTTTGTTTGCAATGTGTCCCTAAGACCTGCAGTACAACAAAATAATGTGTCCTTATTTCTGTTTTGGACTAATTGATGAGCTCAAATAAGTGCAAAAATTCCTCTCCTTAGGTTTTTTATGTAAGGCAGAGGATTATCTCTAATGGAAAACTAACAACATAAGAGAAATTCCTGCTTAATAACACACAGTTGTATTTAAAGGTACGAGTCATTAACACATATTGTTTCAAGGTTCTCAACATGAGTCTCTAATAAATCTAAGAAATGCACAGCTTTTCTTTATTTAAGATAAAACTATTTTGAGTACAATCAGCATTTATTCACATCGTCTGCATGTGTTAGTATGTACAACTAACAAATTTTGATGTTAGGTTATTTTTCAAATTAGTTATTTTATATCTCATTGTTGATTATTTTGTGTTGCTATTTAAGCAGAAAGCAAAGAGAGGTGACTGGAACGGACTAAACAATGACACAAATCACAAACTATTGAAACAAGACGCCCAGATGTGAATGGATCCAGGCTTGGGTATTTCAACAGCCCTTGAATCCAAGTTATTGACTTTCCTAGATTTGGACACTAATTCACCTGGCATTTTAGCTTCATGCTACAGTTCACACTTATGATTTGTGGACATGAATGACTTTCCAAAGAGTCACACAGAGATATGAAGATACCTTCTTTTATGCAAGAAAGGAGATGATTCTTCTGAAATGCCCTCCTGAAGAATCAGGAAAGCCCCAGCAGACCATCTCTCCTGCCTCCATGAGTAGAACTCTGTCACATGTCCACATGGACAGAAGTCCCTAAAGGGAACAATAAAAACACATCGATGTGGCTGACCATATTTATCATGTAAAATTACTAGAGACTAACATCAAGGTTTACATTAACTCCATTTACTTAATTTATTTTTAATTACCCTAAAGGCATTACCTACATCTTCACTAAAATTTTCCAAGTCATGTTTGAGTTTCATCTATACAGATGTTCCTCTATTTATTATGGAGTTTCATCTCAATAAACCTATTGTCATTTGAAAAAATTGTAATTCAAAATGTATTTAATACTCTGCTAAATGCAGTGTTAAGTCAAAGAAATTGCTTAGTTTGCCATCGTAAGTCCAGATTCTCCACAACTTACTATGAAGTTACCTCCCAATATTAAAAAAATAAAAATATTTTTAAAAAAATTAATCATAAAATCTTTGCCCAGACCTACTTCCCAAATCATTCCTCTATGTTTTCTTTTAGTAGTGTTATGGTTTCTGAGAGTANGAGCATAGCCCAGGTTAAAAAGGTTGTATATTTAGCATATTGATCTGATACAGTTTTGTGACCTTTCCTATTATCTCTTTGTGTTGACTTTATCCTTTATATTAGCACCATATCTGGGAGGTAGGGTTAGTTTTAAAAGCTCCTTAACTTGTCTATTTTAATGGGTTTTCCTGAAGTGAGAAAACCCTTGGTTTGCGAAGTATCCCACATGCATGCTGTACTCCAAAAGCATGTATGCTTAGTCCCCGTGTTTTGGCTAATTGACAAGCTCCAGGAAGTGCAATAGTTTCTATCATCTAGGCTTATTTTACATCAAGAAGAGGATTATATTCTAAAGAAAAGCTAACATTGTAATAGCAATTCCTTGTTAATAACCTACTGTTTTAATATGAATGTTTAGCTTCATGAACAAATAATATTTCAGTGTTATCAGTGCGAGTCTCTAATAGATCTAAGAAATGCACAGAATTTTCTTAATTAAAATTAAACTATTGTGAGCATTCATTCATATTTTCTGCTTGTGTTACTATGTACAACAAATTAATTTTGACCTCACTTTGCACTCAGGTTATTTTACAAATCTTTTTTTCTTTATCTTAATGTCTCTAGATTATTATGAGTTTCTACTTCAGCAGAAAGTAAAGAGGGGTGACTGGGATTGACTAAACATTAACATGTATCATAGACTATTAAAACAAGAAGCTGTCCATGTTATATTGACAAAATAAAAATTTAAAATAAAAAAAAATAAAAAATAAAACAAGAAGCTGTGATGTGAGCAGATCCAGTCTTGTTTTTTTTTTTTTTTGTTTTTGTTTTTGTTTTTGTTTTACCATCTACGTATCTAGGTAGTTTCTTTTGCCAATTTAGACATTAATCATGTGTGGAGATGAATGGCTTTCCAAAGCATCACATGTACATATTAAAATGACCTTCCAAAACAGAGGAGAGGATTCCTCTGAAATGCCTTTTGGAAGAATCAGGAAATTCCCAGTAGACCATCTCTCCTGCCTCCATGAGTAGAACTCTGTCACATGTCCACATGGACAGAAGTCCCTAAAGGGAACAATAAAAACACATCGTTGTGGCTGACCATATTTATCATGTAAAATTACTAGAGACTAACATCAAGGTTCACATTAACTCCATTTACTTAATTTATTTTAATTACCCTAAAGGCATTACCTACATCTTCACTAAAATTTTCCAAGTCATGTTTGAGTTTCATCTATACAGATGTTCCTCTATTTATTACGGAGTTTCATCTCAATAAACCTATTGTCATTTGAAAAAATTGTAATTCAAAATGTATTTAATACTTTGCTAAATGCAGTGTTAAGTCAAAGAAATTGCTTAGTTTGCCATCGTAAGTCCAGATTCTCCAAAACTTACTATGAAGTTACCTCCCAATAT